GGCCTCCAGCCGACACACTCCTGGGCCTGCCACATCACGTGGTCCCTATAACCCGGAAGCGCTACGTGTCCGGAGGCGGACACGCCCGGTGTCCGACCCCGAGCAGCAGCAGGGTCGGACCTGCCCCACCGCCATCCCTTGATGGATCACGCGGCCCGATGCGGCTGCTGCGCCGCACGTACCTCCTGAGCGAGACCAGTTCCTTCGCGAAACCAGTTCCACCTATCAAAGTTAGGGGGGTCATCGGCGTGCGCAAGCGATGGTATAAGCGAAGCCGTCCGCTCTGACTGAGCAGCGGTTAAATAAATGCATGGCGAGGCGGTGAATATTTCATGCCGGTGCAAAACTTTGGGGCGGAACACAAATGAAGCGTTTGCGGACGCGACACCGTGGAACCCAAGGCTAAGTCATAACCGGATTCTGCCGAAGGTTATGTAACATTCGCGCGGCGTGAACCCGTCGTCAAGCTGAACGATCCGCGCGAGGGCGATCCCGAGCGCCCGTGGCTCGGGCACCGGCCTCGACGCCTCTCAAGCGGCTGACGGCTGCTACAGACGGTTCGGCCAGAGTCCTGGAAATGTTCCGCGTTTTAAGATATTGGGGCAAGCATCAGATGAGATGAAATAAACTCACTTTTATCTATTGGTAAGCTTTTAAAGGGAGCATTCCGCATTTCCGCGAGGTTTTGAGCTAAAATAGCCATCTTGAAGACCATTCCGTGCGGTTCACGAACCTGCCCTTCTTAAGACCTGAGACCCGTTTGGTTTCTGAGCTATACTCCCGCAAGATGTGCCGACTTTTTCGGGGAGATTATTTCAAGGTCGCCGAGGCCTCCATAGCGCCATAATAACGTTATCAAAATCCTGTCAGTACATCAGTCATGCGGCGACCAAGGCCAAGACAACTAAGCCTGTTCAGCCATTCATATCTGGCGTTCGTGAGCACGATTTTCAGATGAAACATCAATGAGCTCTCAGCCAATGTTTTGCAAGGTACGATGACGTAATAAAACAATGACGTATTGAGGAGCACAGTTACTTAACAGAGAAATTGTGATGTCTTGACGTCAATAGAGAGAATATTATCAGAGCAGTTATTTCCACTTAAAGTATATCAATAGCCGTAAACGCCCTTATGTCAACATATTTGATGCCTGCTTCAATATCTCCAAATTTGGAAGATTCCCCTGATGTGTGCACAAGAATGCTTAACACAAAGAAATCAACATTCAGAACTAAACTCTTAACTACGTCAATGTTGCATTGCGTCATGGAACATTTCTATGACGGCAAGTGGCTGCCAAACTGGCCGTGCGAAATTGCTATCGTTGCGATCGGGCTGACTAACTTGTAGCACTTCAACCTGTCGAGAGATGCCGTGCTCATCGGTGCGTTTCTGCATAACCCGAATATCGTTGTGCGCGCGTGTTTTGGTCTTTTCTCGTGGTGTCCTTGCACATCTTTCCAATGATATTATATTGTTTACTTTCAGTCACATTCTTCGTTATGGTGCCATACTTAATTAACTTATTCAGTCTTATTTCCGACGTAACTCGCACCATTGCCCAACTTCTTGGACTAAGTAGCACAAAACGTGATCAGTGTTCGAAACTTGTGGATCATCATGTCCTGAGTGTCAGGCATTTTGCGTCGTGTCGCAGGAGTTCAGATGAATTGCCGTTCAGGGGGATGAAAGACGATAAAAGTTGCATCGGTGGGTACAATGCAGAGTCAATTTAATCACGTTTGGTAGCTGGACTTTTTTCGGAAAACCACTTTGAGAAAATCGCGTCAAGAGAAAAGTGCATGAATTTGATAAAGTTATACTTGCCAAAACTTATGTAACCATCCGACATGATAAAGGGTAAACTCTGCCGTTACACCGTTAACAACTCGCCAATCGTTGGTGGCAGACAACCATAACTCATATTTTCTGAATCAACTTGGCGAGAACGGAAGGTTTATGGAACACTGCCGTCCAGGTCCAGGTAGGCCCGCCGTGCGTTGCGCGACGCGATAAAACCTGCTCCGGGGGTTTGCGTTGGTCGACGGGTTTTGCTGCGAGTAAAATGGCAGCATTGTCTCCTTTTCCGAACCCACGACAGTACTAGTCCGCGATCTATATCGTTGAATAGCCAATAATCAGGCTGTTTAGAGTTTTTCCATGCCATGCCATAGGACATGCCATGCCTATTCTTAGGACAGAGGGAAGTAGTAAGAATAGTCATGGATATGTATTTCGTTGTTAGCAAAACAACTTTCAGCTCCTGCTTTTGCGTTATGAGTTCCTTTACTCTAAATAATCAACCTTCACTATACCAGAAGGTACTGACTAAACGACCTTAGCAAGCAAGCAGTCGTGGCATGACGTATCCCGGATCCCGGGCACGTGGCCCACCGACTGGTGCTGTTCCTCGGACACGTGACCCACCGACTGGTACTGCACCTCGGACACGTGACCCTACTGACTGGTCACGTGCTCAAGCAGCCACGCGGTGGAAGGCGGCGATCTGTTTTGTGGCATTGGCCATTAATGGATAATCTGAAGATGATGGGTGACTTCTGCACGTTGTATTGTATTGTTTGTCCGTTGTTTCTGTGAAGCTGGAAGTCTTGTAGTGTGCTATTTTTGAGAGATTGCATAAGCTGTCTGGCTTCCGCAAATGACTTGCACTCGAAGTGGCCGACAATACCGTCGGAACGTGTTCAACGCTTAAATAAAGTACAAAGACAAACACCTACAACACAGGACGGATCATTCGCGATATCAAATCGGTTGCAACACTCGCAAATCGATACCTTGCAGCGTAATAAATTCATTACTCGGACCCGTGTGGACATTACCCGGGCTTGTATGAGCTGGCCAGCTAGGCCAGTCAACCATGCAAGCTGACAGTTCATTTATACTTGCCCAGGACTGTTTCTTGGACATCTCCGGAATGCGAGACCAAACATGAGCCGGCCCGGGATTGCTTTGATCCAGATCGATGGTACCGGACTGGGTGTGACTGGCGGTAGATCGGTCAGGGAGCGGACATGCCCCGCCCCCCCCCCCCCCCCCCCCCCAGGGGTGTTTGGCAGAACTATCCACAAGCCAAAGCCGTTGACAACGGCACCTGGTCACAAATTGGGGGGTTTTAAGGAGGTTTCCACCATAACAGAAGTGCCAAAACAGACCACCCCAACCGCCTTTCGATTCTTAACAAAGCGTTGCCAAGTCATTCCACAGCATCAAAACCCTTGGTCAGAAGTACCAAGTCACAAACTTGGATCTCCTTGATTTTGTTAACACCACGATGTGATGTCCTCTGTGCTCAGCGTGTAAATCAAGTACAAATACAAACACCTAAAACATATTAAAAAGTATATTATTCCATGGAGTATCATTACATGGGCATTTTACGGTGCGTTATTGTTAACCTTAGTCGTGACTCTTAAGCCCAAAACAACCAAATTAATTTCCAGACGGCAAATGCCGGTGAATCCCACTGACCAGACGCGCTGGCTGATTCATTCAAGGTCACACGTCGTCGGATCGGATCTGCCCCTGGCACGTGGGCCCTCTCCGGGCCGAGCTGAGTGAAAACGCCAGCTGTCTGTCAGCTGGCCGAGGAGGTTCGACGGGGTCGGGGCGGTCGGGGGGAGACTGGGCAGACTTTCAGAGAGGGGGAAAGGTGGAGGTGGGCTGGGCCGCTCCCGAGCACAATGAATCAAAACTGACACGAGTTCGTGTTTCTCTTCTGCGACTTAGTTGCACGCGTTGGTTTAACTCGGTGGCGAAGTCAGGACTTCGTTCGAGGAGTTAAATAGGGACATAGTGGCCCTTCCAGCCAAAGAGGCCTCTCTGTCGCTACCAGCGGCGGCTCGACCTTCTGCGACGCCGGCGGCGGACAAGGTCGACTGTCTGCGGTCGGAGGTCATGCGAGGCCCCTGTTTTTGAACCTGAGTGATCTTTATAGGAGCGTTGCTTCGCGCACTGCCATGTTCAGAGGAAAGAGCATGGCTCCAAACGGTCCCCCCTTGGTTACGTCACTGGCATAGGGCAGTTAGGATCTGTGTTGGATATGAGGACCAGCACGGATGCAACCTGCACCAGGACGAACAAGACGACCAGGACGAACAGGACGAACAAGATGACCAGTTCAGTTTTTAAAGGCACTCCCTGCATCGTACAGTACATCACAATCGATATCGAATGCAGCCTGCTATGAACCAGCTTGCAGTGAGCTGCAGGTTAATTCACACTTGGCCCACAAATTGTAAGTGCCTTCGGTATGAGGCCGGCACCTGCGGCACACTTGTGTCACACACATTCAACAGTTCGTTAACAGTGGTCAACCTAAGTTCATTTCTCCGCTTCTCGTATGCTTTTCCTATGAATCCAGAGTGTCACAAGCCTTATCGTCGGAGAAACACGTAGAATGTAATTAGGCGATGACTGGAAAAAGGTAGAACGCCGCTGCCATAGCCGATGCACCCACACATAACCCGCCAAGCGAGCTTTCACCATTACTGTACAGTTACTCATACCACGTGCACCGAAGCTCCATACCAAGAAGTGTCACACGCGGGGCCCTGGTCTCATCTCCCCTGTGACAGCACGCGTCGCAAACTCGGACACCGCGACTGCCGCCGCGAGTCAAGGCCATCAAGGCCTCCCCGCCAGCCGGCTTGTTTCGCGCATCTAGTGAACCAAACCTGCTGCCTGCAGATGTACGGGTGTCAGCGGTCGCGAGCAACGCGACCTTTAAGACAATCTTGACCTTTTATTTGACAGGAAGATACACATATTCTGTCGCGTCGTGTGGCGCCTGCACCTGTGTCGACCTTGTTAAATCTTCTGTGATTATTGCACGAACATTGACTTGGAAGGTAGAAAATCCACTTTGTGGAAGCTCCTAAAAGCAGACCGGTCTACTTTGCCGACAGTCCGCCACCACCACCCGCAGCTCACCGCGGCGAGCCGGCACGCCCCACGAGACGCGGCGCTCCCAACGTTACCTGCAGTTCTGACAGCACTTGCGGGACGAGATGGTGATGTGACAGCGGCCTTCGTAGGCGCAGCGGAAGTGGCGGTACGCCTCGTTCTGCACGCTGCGCCGGAAGAACGCCTTGCACGAGTCGCACGCCATGCCGCCGAAGTGATGGCTCTTGGCGCGCTCACCGCATACTCCGCAGACCTTGGCGGCGCCCGGCGCCTGCAGCGGCGGCTCGACCTTGTCCGGCGCACGCGGCGGACAGGGTCGGCTATCTGCGGGCGGAGGTCAGGCGAGGTCACATGCCAGGCGAGGTTGCAAGTCAGTCGGGTCACAGATCAGTCAGGTCACAGATCAGGCGGGTTTCAGGGCAGACAAGGTCATATGTCAGGCGAGGTCACAGGTCAGGTGTATCATAGGTCGGCGAGGTCACGAGTCACGAAGATCACAGTTCAGATGAGTCTGAGGTCAGACGAGGTCACAGGTCAGGTGGTCTCAGATCAGATAAGGTCGCTGGTCATACCAGGTCACAAGTCAGGCGGGTCTCAAGTCAGACGGGTCAGATGTCAGGCGAGGTCACCCGTTGAATAGGTCACAGGTCAGACATGGCATGAAGTAATACGAATTTGGAAAGCACGCTGAACGAAACTGGGTCGTGAAACTTAGTGGAGGCAAGACACGCCTGGAACATTTGGTTTTTCGTCGCTATGAATTCTGGGTGCTGATGCTTATAGTAACCGACCTTCGAAATACAAAAGGTACCAGCACGAATACCGTCGGAAAGGAGTATGCCGCCTTATTTGCACTTTTTACTCATCGTTAGATCAGCCGCGTCCGATTTGATCGGTAGTACCAGTTTCTCGAAATCCGTCCGAATAGCTTAGAATTCAGATTTGAAGTAGCTGCTCCTGTGGAAAAGATGTCATTGGACTCGGCCCACTATCAAGGAAGTAATGCATACTCAATCTGTGGTGACACGACAAATGTATGAAATGTAGGGCGATTGCCTTGCTTTTTCCAACGTGTGTAGTCTGTAATGTTCGCAACGCGATCAGTTGTCGAACTGCTTGCGTCTAAATGTTACGAAAACGGAAACACTCTTTTAAGAGAAAAGAATATGCAAACACGAGGCTATTTGACCGCGAAATCAGTGGAGCGTTATGCGATGGTCTTCATTACTCTCCTATAGTATTTAGCTCTTTTCAGTTTCTTGCTCTTCAGTTTCTTGCTTTTCAGTTTCTTGCTCAGTTTCTCTTTCAGCTCTTTTGGCTCTTTTCGGGCACTTTAGCTTTGGGAAAGGCTGTTTCACATGGTGTGGTGACTCGTTAGTTCAAACTTCAACAATGCGCTTCCCGGCGACTGTTCCTTGCTGTTTGTGCAAATCGCAAGCGTTCATTCGTACTGATGTCATCCATACCAGCGGAGGTGCCACTTTTCAGCCTGCAGGCCCCCAATGTGCGAGTCAAAGCAGCATCGCCAGATATGAACCCCCCGACAGTTATATTGTTCTGAGCCTTGGTCGTCGCACGGCTTATGAAATGGCAAGATTTGAATGGCGTTGTAACGACATTGACACCAAGGTGATTTTGAGATATTGTTCCCGATATACCTTCCTTATTTTCGTGGGCGTATAGTTCAGAAACCAGAGGGGCTTATATCTTAAAAAGGGCAGGATTGTGAACAGCACCAAAAAGTCTTCAAGGTGGCCAATTCAGTTTAAAACCACACATGAATGTGGAACACTCCATTTAACAAATTGATTGAACGACGTTACCAAACAAGCATTGGTTATATTGAGAAGCGCAACATTGAGATGCGCGTAGCGATAAGCCCTTGCTGAGGATACGTATCGCCATTTGTGAGTTTAACTTATATTGCGTGTTTTCAAAGCCACCGATACTTACTTGATGGCGGCATTTCACAGCACGTCCTGGCAAACTGAAAGTCGAATATTCCAGCATAAGACCTCCAAACTCTCAAACGTAGCAACACTGCAGCTAATGCGGCCTGTTTGCAAGCCGACTTCAGCACATCATCAGCATGGGCGTACGTCATATCCACTTAGTGTGTTATGGTGTGTTGCATTTTAAGACTTCACTAACATGCATTAGCATGCTCGTTTAGATGCGCTGGGCATCACGGCGAGCAGGACCGCATGTGTTTGGCGGGAAGTAATTGGTCAACGGCCTCTTGTAATGCAAGGATCCTCATGCACCGTTGTCCCCACTGGTGACACCACTGGCCGTGGTTTTAATCAATACAACGCCTCCAGCGTATATTCCGTACCGGAAGCAGTAAAATGAGGTCTGGGAATGTTAACGAGGGGGGGCTGTTCAGCGTTCTGCCAAGCCAAGTGCTTGCGCTTCCGATAATTGGGGTGGTTTCGTGCTTATTTACGCGTATTTTCGTGGGATCCAATCGTTTTGCTTCGGAGGCTTGCTATCCCGATATGCTACGGGCCGCTCGTGTAGAGTGCTGCTAGAACTGGCACAAACAAGTGCTAGTTAACACAAGTGAGTGGCGGTGAGGCGTATTCAGCATGCCTCGATGATGCTAGTGTCAAGAGCCAGTGATGTTTGTAGCTGTTGTTCTACGTAGCCAAAGGTTCGTCCATGCGGTTGTTGGCGCTTCCGCCGCAGCTTCTACTGCGTGTTGTCCCGCGTGCCCGACGTGTTGGTGCCTCTGCACTACGCTGTTCCCCCACAGGTACCTATGAATAATGAGTGAATACTCCCTTTCGGGCGGGGATTTTCCACGCCGTCTGCTAATTTATTCATGAACTTATGCCTGTGCCCCTGTTTAGTGGAGGAAATGAGAACTTGAGGCAATAAAATCACACTTTTGCACTGAACAAAGCGAAGACAAAGGCCACGGCTTAGGTGTTGCAGCCTTTAAGGGCAATAACATCGTGAGGACTAAAAAACTTCGAAAGAAGATTTCAAACATCAGCGAAGTTCTTAAAAAAAAAACACTGGACGGATCGGTGGCGGGTAACAATAAGCTCCTGCCTTAGGAGACGCAGTTTCACAATCTCACACAGCCTGGGCCTACAGGTAAAACACGGCATATGTAATACCGAGCCTTAAATGTACCGCAAAAAAGTTCGCAAGCGCCTAGACCAAATTTGAAAAGACAAGTGCCAGCGAAACGTCAGGCAGTGCGAGAATGTGGCGTGGGACACCATTTCCCAACATTGCCCTCGCAAATACTCAAATGCCCACTTAACCCACTAAAACTCACTAAAACTTCACTAAAACAGCGATTTTCAACCGTCATTCGGCTGACCAGCCAGCCCAAACTTGTGAGATGCAGAGCCAATTGTCAAACAAACTTCACCAGCAGAAGCTTATTCACACGGCTACAAGTGCTTTATAAAATGGTAGGACATTTTGTGTATACCGAAAAACAGTTTGCGATGATTTCATTAAATCGGTAACAAGACTAAACTAAATGCCAAAATACTAACAACATAATTTTATACAGGAAAAGTGATGAGCGATGCCGCCTCCATTTCCAAACGTCACGAAAAACATCGGGGTGACTTGGTGAGATTGCAATGATTTTACTTCGACCATGAGCACGTTTGCTAACACGCCATGTAGACGAGGAATTTCCAAAAGATCGCATGAAAAATTGATTAGATCTCAAAGCGTCTTATGTCGAGGCTGCGCTCATGAGTGTGCTCGCCATGAACACAGTCGAAAAAGCTATACAACTAACCTGAGGGCTAGGTGAATTGGTGGGCCCCGGCTAAGATTTCTGATTAATCTAACCAGATGCTGTGGCCAGGCGCGAAGATCACAAACGAATGTATGACGTCGACGGTGACGTCACTGGTCAGTGACGCGCTTGGCGCCGAAGCCTGCCGTGCTCGGTAGCACCGTTTTGATGGGCGGCTGAGCTCGGTGTGAGCGGTGATTGATGATGTTCGAGATAGTACTGCCACATTCACGTACACCGCGTCAACATCTGACGGTAGCGAAGGCCAGCTCTACAATACGCGCTGACCGCAGTCAGGCGCGTCCATCAGTTGGACCACTCAAGTGGCTCCGTGGCTGCGTCCCTCGCCCTATCCATGAAGCGGCGCAACCCGCAGGCGAGTGGCACTGGGGTCTGCGTGGCGGACGGAACTCGGGTCTGCGTAAAGGGCGGGGCTCTGGTCTACAAAAGATGGCGGTGGTGACCATTTCACACCAGTATTTTCTGAGAATTCAGTGTTAACACAATGGTTATTGCTAGAAATGATTTGCCTGAAAAGAGGGTGAAGCCTGACAACTCATTAGAAGGCTCCTGTTCCCCTCTGCATTATGCACCACAACGGAACACACCGTAATGATCCATTTACAACCTCCACGCTGTCAGGCCAATCTAAAATATAGGTGGCATCTGTGAGTTAACAATGCTAAGGTAGCGTGCTTAATACGGGGCGATGATATAACATGGCGATGGAGGTAGCTCGTACGACAGTGAGCGAAACAGCACTGGTTTGTCTCGTCCGACAGTGACCTTAACAGGGTTGGATCGTCTCACCCGACAGCGAGCTTAACAGTGCCGGAGCATCTTGTCCGACAAAGAGCTGCACAGCACTGGATAGCCCCATCCGACAGTGAGCTAAACGGCGCCGGTTCGTCTCGTCCGACAGTGAGCTAAACGGCGCTGGTTCATCTCGACCGACAGTGAGCTAAACAGCGCTGGTTTGTCTCGTCCGACAGCGAGCTTAACGACACTGGATCAACTTGTCCGACAGCGAGGTAAACAACACTGGATCGCTAGTGAAGTCGTAGGCCGGTGCTGTGGCCAGGAACAGCTTCAGTGCCACCAGCCAAACCAGGAGCGATCGCGTTCTGATTGTGGGTTACCCGGCTAACAGTGGGTAAAATCACCATAGGCCGTTCGGAACGGATCCATCGGTGGGGCAATCAGGTTACTGTTGGCAACAACAGGCCAGGCCCTGAAATTAATGTTGGTAACAACAGGCCAAACCCTGAGATTAATGTTGATAATAACCGGCCAAACCCTGAGATTACTGTTGGTAACAACAGGCCAGGCCCTGAGATTACTGCTGGTAGCAACAGGCCAAACCCTGAGATTAATGTTGCTAACAACAGGCCAAACCCTGAGATTACTGTTGGTAAGAACAGGCCAGGCCCTGAGATTAATGTTAGTAACAACAGACCAAACCCTGAGATTATTGTTGGTAACAACATGCCAGGCCCTGATATTACTGTTGGTAACAACAGGCCAGGCCCCTCAGGTTTCTGCTGGCAACGACAGG